GGGAGGGGGCGAGGTGCACCCCACTCCCTTGTGTCCCCCCGGCCCCCCCAGCGGGGGGGGGGGGGGGGGCGGGGGTGTAGGAGTGAGTGTATCAATCAAAGCCGCTCAAAGAGAAAGAACCAGCTGCTGGTGTTGGAATTGAATCTCTTGACAGGTAGCGCCAACCAGAGGTCCTTCCGGGTCAACGCTGCCACGGCGGAACAACAACACCTGAGTTGATATCCAGACGGATTGATCAATTTTACAGCCACTGCACCGATTTCCCTTCTTCTGGGAAGACGGTTAACGCCGGACAAAGGAGCAGCTTAGCCATGAATATAAAGAAGGAGGTGAAGAGAATTCATATGGAGGACAAGATTGAAGGAAAATAATTATATATATATATAGGTGCACAGCAGCTCCGCAAAAGATAACAGACAAGACGTTCTGTCTGTACTGTGGAACAACCTTGGCTGAGAGGAAAAAACCCCAAAAACAAACAAAAACAAAAACTCAAGACAAATTGTTACAAACACCACGGCTGTTGAACTGTTCTCTGTTTATCCATCCAAGCATTTAGGGCTCAAATTTCATACAAACAACAATGACAGGATGAGGACAGAGTAAATGACTAGTTTTACCACTGGTGGATCAAATCTCTGTTGTGTGAGCAAAACACGATAAGTCCAAGTGATATTTTCACACCACACTGCAGTATCAGATACCGACCTACTGCACACAAGGATGGAAATGGAGGGAAAAAAAAAAACAACAAAAAAAAAAACCACAGCTCTCACCTTCTCTGTGGGAATTGCACTGCTTTAAATCGACATTTTTTTTAATTTACTGTATCATTACAATCAACGGACGTGGCTGTGGTTTTGCTACTTGGACGTTTCCGTTTCTATGTTAGTCGATCGTAAGACACATGGTATTTATTCAGCTGGTTAAAGAGATAATCCGTGTTGCTGCACACAGGACAGACGTCACAGTAGTGAACCATGGTTACTTTTTGGTAGGATAAACTCTTATCGTCCTCTACTGTGATCTTCACTCACCACAATACACCCTCGAGAAAAGGTGGGATCATTTGGAACGAAAGGCAACATAAGAGTTTACTTGTGAATAAAAACTGTCAAGGAAGGAAGGAAAGTGAACTACTTGTCATTGTGAACTCCAGGTGCTCAGAGCACCGCAGCGGTAACTTGGCAGCTGGTGGAGTCGAACCTGAAACCTTTCCGGACCCAAGTCGGCTTCCTTAACCCCTAAGCCACCACTGCCCCCAGAGGCAATTAGAAGGCAAGTCAATTAGAAAGATGATCTTTATTTTTCTCTAGATTGAATTGCAATCAATTGGAGTAAAAAAAAAATGAAATAAAAATCATTAAATTACACAGCTCTAACACAGCAGGAAAATGTTTTTGTTTCACTCTTCAAGCTTAAAGTACCATCTCAACCCCCAGCCTGTGGGCAGTGGTGGCTTGGTGGTTACTTTTCCCCCCAAAATTGATAAAATAATTTTACAGTGATCATGGTGTCTGACCAAACCAAGAACAAATCTGAATGAGCAGTAGTAAGGTGTAGAATTGCACCAATAAACACACCATGTTGGAATAAAGCAGCTCTGAATTCTACCTGCCCGTAATGACGGCTTACCTCCATTGTCAAGCGAGCGTTTCTGGCCTCCAAATCCATAGAGGGAGGGATCTATGACTGGAGAGGAATTGTTCATGTTGGGCATCTGGTCTCCACCCATCTTGGCTGCCATCTGGGGGAGAAAAAAAAAAGAATCACCAAAAAGTGTTGCTTAGTTAAAAAAAAAAAAGAATCACCAAAAAGTGTTGTTTAGTTAAAAATGTTTCTTTGTTGTACCAGACAACGTCTAGTCTTTTTGTCGCACGTCAAACAATATCACGGCAGTTGAAGTTAGTTCGTCAGCGTGGATGTGTTGTTGTTCTCAAAAATCACGCTCAGATTTTTCTCAGGATTTGGGTGATAAATGAGATCACAGAGAACATAAAATCAGGTCTGTGAAAAAAAACCCAAAACAAAACCTAAACTCAACCTAAAATCATCTTTTATTTCGAGTCGTCCACTTGCCAACCTAAAGCAGATGCTCGGGGTCTGAAAAGGATGATGGGCATGTAAATGTTCAGCTCACAGCGAGAGAGCACCAACACCATTTTCCACTTCCCGTTAATCTGCCACCTCTCCTTCCGTACAAAAGTATAGCGTTTCAGAAAATTACACTAAATTGACATCTGTGCTGGTGTGTGTTCAAAATATGAAAATACAGAGCAGGCGTTTTTAGAGCCTTCCACCACCTTCAGAGATGACTAGAATGACTACAATACACCAACTCCAAGAAGCTACATTGTTGTGATATAAGATAGCATATTTTTCTCAACATTTTTTCATATTTATAATCCATTATATCAACATTTTTTCATATTTATAATCCATATAATCCAATCCAGTGGATTTATCACATTATTAATCGAGATTGAATCCACTGCTGACCTGTGATTAAAAAACATTTTGACAAAACATTCCTATGTCATTCCAGGTGCATCTTCAACTAAGTTTACTTTACTGGGATGTTATGAGTGTCAGAAAAGCAGAAAAACACAACTATATATATATATATACACACACACACATGTACACATACATATATACACACACATACATATATATACACACACACACCTAAATATATAAATATATACACATATATACATATAAATACATAAATATATATGTATAATGTGTATATATACACACACATATACACATATATACATATAAATACATGTATAATGTGTATATATGTATATACACACACATATACATTATATACATACATATACTGTATACATATCCATACACACATACGTGACAATACAAAAGAAACATGGTAGGGTTTCAAGTTAAGCAGTATTGTGAACTATTATGTGGTTTTTGTGTTTACCTGGGACCAACTAGTCCTCAGGGTCACTGTGCTCCAAAAAGACGCCACACAAATCCACACGACTAATGTGACATTCTTGTTTTACCGGTTTGCAGTGGGTTAGGTCCACCGTGTATATTTAGGACCAAAATGGTTCCACCTAGTGACCTGGACCGTTTTTGCAAACAGAGACGAGCGCGACGAGGCGAAGGAGGAAGTATCCAATAATTAGCTAATGGAACGTCAAATCAGAGGTCGCCGTTCAAGTAATTTAATGAGCAGGTTAATGGAACTCTGCGCACTGCTTTGCTGATGGTTTGCTTTAAAAAAATAAAAATATAAACACGATTTTAAACAACCTAGTAATTTCAACATCTGCAGATTTCGACGTGGTTACAATCTGTGTTCATTGTATTTAAGGTGAGATGAAGTGAAGCTCCACAACAGGAGCAACACCCACAATTATCTACATTAACCTTGTTATCATACCACACTCATAATCAGACGACGACGTGTGAAAGTACACAGTGTACTCACATGTAGGCAACACGTACCACAAGAACACACAATTAAACGTCAACATGTGAACGGAACACATTCCTGTCATTTTACAAATCTCCACAAATTCCTGAAAAAAAGTCCTGAATTATGGGACAGTGTTGTCCAATCACATGTCATGTGTGCTTCAACAGGGACTTGAATTTACCAAGAAAAATTACAGTGAGAGACCATGAAAGGCAGTTCCCCAAGAGTCTTCGTGAAAACTGGCGTAAATTGTTTTGCAATGTCCATGTGCAATGACATTGGTAAACGTGTGCAGAAAAACAGACGCATGTTGACGAGCCAATCACATTGCAGATTAGCAGAGCAACAGATAAAAACAGTCAAGACGAAAACCACCAGAGAGGGCGTCACATCCTGAACCGCAGGTCGAACCCTGCATCAGTGTGTGTTTGTATGACGTAAAATAAAAGGCAGGTGAAATGTGACATTTTTAAAACATTTATATCATAACGCGTGTTGAAACATTTAACATTTGTATTCTTCTTCATCTGCCATTAAACTAGTTCAAAATCGTTATATTTACATTTTTATGGTAAGACAAAGATCTGTAACAACTAAATAGAAAAAACGATGTCCTTTTTGTGTTTCAGCCACGTCTAGCTGTAATATTGTTTTAACTGTTAAGTCTCACTGTGGTCTTTGCTGCCATGACAACCTGATGATGTGTGAAAAACACATCTCCTCTGGGATTAAAGAAAGAACTCTGCTACCTATAAATCTTTCATTTATAAAAAAATAACAATTTCAGAAAACACCAACATACAAACGTTGGATATAAAGTCGACAACTTTTAGCTTGAGTATGTACATCACAAACAACACAATCACGTCTCCTTGATGACCTGTTTACCGTCGGCATGTGAGCTGACGAGGACGGACCTAATGACTTAAGCTGTGTATTTGTATATTACGACTGTTGTCTAAGGGCACACCGCAACTCTGAACGATCACGTTTGCCAAAAGCGCACAACAGTTGCTAAAACCACGAGTCCGACACTGAGTCACAAACAAGGGAGGCTAATGTGCTTCGTGTGTGTGTGTGTGTGTGTGTGACGTGCCAAAGTCAGTCAGGATTAATTTCAATGGCACTGCATGGGTGTGTTGGCATTTCTGAAACTTGATTTCGTAGTGCCATTTCACCATGCCTCGCTTGTGTACACAAGATAAGAAAGACGACATAACACGGGACTAGTGCGATTGCTACTTTAACAACTACTCTACGGTCATATAGTGTAGTAATATTATTAAAACACCAGGCGTGTTGTAAAACTATAAAACGGTTCAACTCTCCAGACATCTCCTAGTATCTCATGTATGCCCTGCTTTGGGTAAAATGGGCGTTAAAAACGATATCCGCAGGAAACAGATCAATTGATTACTACAGAAGTGTACAGCAACACCTGCAGTTTTTCTTTGTTTTTTTAAACCATCTTTAAAAGTTAATGACACGTTTTCACTTCTGACGGGCGAACACACACGCCTGTGTTTATATCCTGCACTGGGCCTGACCCGACTCTCAGCTGTAAGACTAAAGTCCACCTCGGTCACACCATTGCCTACTAATCTTCTGTTACGGCAGACACACAGCTTCAGTTGCAGCACAGCTTCAGTGACCATGTCTCCTGCTGTCACCATGTGACATTGCTCAGTGTCAGGTAAACAGGAGGGGGAGTGGGGGGGTGAAACAGCAGGGGGACACTTTGGTCGTTTTTACTAGTATAAGCACATGTTTTTTTTGTTTTGTTTTTTAAATAAGGCAAACAAGTACATCTGTAATGTGGCTGTGACCAGGAGTGGTAGGGGTGGTGGTGGTGGTGCTGGGTGGTGGTGGTGATGGGGGAGGGGGCGGGGGGGCTTAATTCAACAGATGACGTTTCATGGCATGGCCTAGCTCCGAGTGTCACACCAGTTACACTTGTTTATTTTCAATTCCGTTGACCTGACGAGCTGACTGTTTCGCTGGGGTTCAATGATTATGTGTTAATGTACCGTGGTAAGGTGTGCACGAGAACTGAGGCTGGGTCTTTAATCACTGTGTGAAAAGTAAGGCTAAGTGGAGCTAATTTTGAGTGAGGAGAAGCATGTCAGCTCGCCTGTGTCACAGCTGAATGTCTGGATGTGAATATGTTTGAAAATCACTTCACATGTTCACCTTTAAGAGAGTCAAAAAAAACAAACAAACCCCAAAACACAACAAATAAAACAACACAACAAGTTGCTGGTATTAGTCAGTTAGCAGACTGAGCTAAGTCCAACTTCTGGACTTGACAACAGGTTGCTGGGTGACGACTAAAGTAAAGTTGAACAAACTTCGACGTCAGGAATTGTTTTCCTGTCTTTCGTTAAAACCTACGTGTGACGAGGTTCCTGGTCGTTTTTACGTCGTCACAAAATGCGTCCCCTGCTTATGGCCAACTCTAATCTGTCCTCTCTCGGCTAACTGTGCTACTTAACGTTAGCGTGTTAGCTTAGCCTGCTAGCTCGCTGTTGGATGCATGAGGACTGTTGGTAGCAGGGATTCGAACTCCCTTGACCACATCTCGTGCCCTGCTCCGACACGCCGCCCCCTCGGGCCCGGTGCTGCCGAGTATGCAATGCAGAGCGTTTTACCTGTCGAACCCGGCGTATCGTGTCTGCGAAGTCATCTTTCGTTCCGGGCTGAGCCACCGAGGCCTGTCCCTGAACCAGCTCCGCCATCATCATCATCCGCCTCGGCAGCTGAGAGCCACACTTAAAAAAAAGGCTGCACACGTGCCAGGCTAAAACTCCGAGAGCGGCGTGATCTCGCGAGACTATCGAGGACTACACACAATAATAAATAATATATAATTATATCAACGATATAAATATGAATAGCGTGACGTTAAACAACACAAAACAAGGAGATGTGATGATTATTATAATTGGATTACGTTGTGATATTTCCTTAATTAGACACAGAAATACAAAATACTGCCCTGACAGTTAATACATTGTTCAGTTTACATGTCAACTGTAGTGCTGTGTTTCATTTCACTTGTTTATTTTGTATTCTTGGTCTTAACGTAGACATCTGTGCTAATCTCGAACTCTACAATGTTCAGAGTTCCGTCTGGGTCAAGAAATATCACGTCTGACGTAGCAGAATTTTCCTCACCACACTTTCAAACCAGGATGTCATCTCTTGCACTCTTACCTTGTACACCCTGGTGCACATGAACCTATTTTTAGTTGAAATATTTCAACATGTCTGTCTCAAAATCAAAAAAAAAAAAATTCCCATCTGACACAATGAAATGAAAATCGAGGATTGGTTGCTCTGCACATGTGGAAACACCTATTGTTGCACATCTGGCAATTGCCCGCAGACAGAAAATTGCAGCAAATTTTTCAAACTGTTTATGCAAAATAGTTTGCTCTCCGTGAATCCAATCCAAAAGTCAATGAACAGAGTGGGAGAGAAAGAGCCGGAGAAGAATGTGTGGTCCCGAGGAGCGGAGTCTTTTAGCTAACGCTAACCTTAACCCTGCTCTGTGTGGTAAAAGCCTAAACTAACGTCATATAAAACTAGGCAAAAAAAAAAAAAAATGGTTTCAGGACATAAAGTTAAGATTGACCTTCACGGTGAGCTGCAGAGTCTGACAGACGTCAGTTTCCCCGACTCGTCAGCCCCCGGGCATGTTATCACCTCCAAAGAAGATGCAGATACATTAAGTGTGATCTGACGCTGTTCCCAGGCCAGAACCTTTTAAATGAAGACCCCCAGTTTAGCCCGACTGTAGCGTGACCCCGGCCCAGGGAGCATATTGTTACCATGTGCCGTCTAATGTATTCAAACCTGGAGGTTGATGGGAAGTGATTTTAGGAGCGCTCTGGTATCAAAGGGTGAGTCAGTCGGGGGGTCATCATATACAGCCAGATGATGCATACATCAATGTGGAGCAGAGAACACACACATACACACACAGTTATTGGGAATTCATTATTGTTCCGCAGTATAAAATAAAGGTGTCGGTCTGTGGAGTCCTGTCAATCAAACCGAGGAGGAAACGGAGTTTGTGTCGACTGTATGTGGTTTAATACAGATTTGAAATGATAAACATTTTTCTACGGAGTCAGTGAGTTAAAAACTAGTGACCTAAAAAACATAATTTTAGTTGGAAATAAAAAAACTGAACACCATGGTTGTACAGACTGCCATTTCACAGATATGGATGTCTGTTTTTTTTTCTGGGCTTCTGTTGGACCATTACAAATCTTTCACTTTCTTGCTCTGACCAATTCCTTTTGTCAATTTCAATATTACATTGCATTACATACAGTACATGGTTTTAGTGGAAATGTATTCTGTTCATTAATTTATTTTTTACAAAGTTTAGCTGCACTTTTTCAAGGTAGATTATTGATCCCAAAATGGGGAAATTATTGCAAATTATTATCATGTTATTATGTAAATAATAATAATAACCATAATAATAACCATTATATTATTATTATTATTATTATTATTATTATTATTATTATTATTACAGTGTAACTGCGTTATGTCTGTTTTTATTTCTACTTCTTGTCTTGAATATTTTGGTGTCTGTTTTTTTTTTTCTTAATACACACACATATTGTCAGTTTCCTGTTCCCACCATCACTTCACAACATCTTGTTTTGGAGGTGACAGCGGTCAAATAAGCAGAAAAAAACTGAGCATGTGGAAAAAGGATTAGTATGGACACATGTTCTCCTAAACTGCCGGGCTTTCACCTCCGTCTTTCTTCTCCTAAGTCTGAACAGAGCCGGCCACATGAAAATGGTAATTGCTTTATAATTGCCACGGTTCTCCAACTGGGGCGTAAATTTCTAAAGGCGGGATAGAGTTTCATCCAGAGACCCCTGAGGGATCTGAGCCCATCTCTCCGTCAGGAGCAGAGCGATCATAAGGAGGAAAGCAGTTCTAGAACTAGTACTGTTGTTGCCAGAACAAATGTTTAAGTGCTCCAAAAATCATCTTAAACTCGCACTTTAATATTCAATTTTGTTGTACCCCTGCTGTACAATGACAATAAAGACCATTCTATTCTATTCTATTCTATTCTATTCTATTCTATTCTATTCTATTCTATTCTATTCTATTCTATTCTATTCTATTCTATTCTATTCTATTCTATTCTATTCTATTCTATTCTATTCTATTCTATTCTATTCTATTCTATTCTATTCTATTCTATTCTATTCTATTCTATTCTATTCTATTCTATTCTATTCTAGAGAGAACTGGACATCCATGATCAAAGGCCTGACGATGGGGCAAAATAACACTTTTTTTTAGTTTTTACATTTTTAAACATCAGCTTATGGCTAAGTCCTGCTGCTACACTTAACCGTTTATAGCATAAAACTAAGCCATCTCTTTGGTTAACCTTTAGTTACTGATACTTTTTTTTAAGCAATTTCTCAGGTGACTGTTAGTTCACATTAGGGGGGGGCACATCAGCAATACAGTTACCCTTAACTTAAGGTAACCCTTAACTGCGTAACGTATTAACACATGTTTCTACAATTAATACATTTTTATTCAAGTTACAAATATTGTACATTTCTCTGTGCAATAATAAAAAAAAACAAGTTAAGAAACTCAGCAACATGGACTTTATGATAAGGCACTTTATAAGATCCCGTGGGCCACACGAAATGGCCGTTTATGGCCCGCGAGCCTCGACTTTGACCCATATGGTTTATCCTATGGTTAGTGAAAACATCTTATGGTTAAGGAGCTCTGTCAAGCGTATTGTACAAGATCACAATCTGAGCAATTTTTGAATCCACACACTGTAAACAACGTCTTCTTCAAATCGCATCATTTCAAAAGGAAAGCGACAGATAATGAGGTTCACCCTTCGCTGTGCCTTAATGGAAGACTTTAAAGAGCGGAGAGGAAGCTCTGACAGGTGACTTCCTGTCTCAGAGGAGGAGACTGACAGATGAAAAAGGATAAACAGAGCACTTTTATTCAATAACAGGAGGGAAATATATCAATGTTTTTTTTTACCTCTTAGACTTTACCTCAGCAGCCTGCTCCACCTCCTCCTCTTCCTCCTCCTCCTTCTTCTCCCCCACAGCCCACTTTGATTCAGCTCTGTATCTGTATTTTAAATGAATCAATTACACAGGAACCTGTGGTGAAAATTACGAAAATTACTTTTCTACTATTTCCCTCCACTGGGACTGCGTGACCCCTCCCCCCCGGCTCCGGTGACCCTCCTCCTTCTCCTCCTCCTCCTCCTCCTCCTCCTCCTCCTCTGTTCTCCATCCTTCCCGTCCGCTCCCTCCACCTGTTCTATTTCCCTCTTCTCCCACTGTCGCCCACTTTTCTTGACAAACGTCGCCTGTGTTGTATTGTATCCCAAACTGACAGGAAATAACAGCTAAATGGTCACGTCTGGGGGCTCTCTGAGCGACGACTTGACAAAAAGTGTTTTGCAGGTAATTTTACTGCTTTCACCACTCAACAAGCCGCCGAGGAGAGTTTCTTGAGGATGACACCAGTCACCGCTCAAACTCAAACACCAGGCGTGACAGAAATAAATGCACATCAGCCGGTCGTGGAGTTTCAAAAGTGGACCAAAAAAATTATTCAAAAAAATTTATTCATTCCAAAGCAGAGCGGCGTGTTGATTTCCCACAGTTTATGGGAGGCATTTCTTCAAAGTGGACTCTACCGTCTGATGTATGCTGCTGCTGTGGAATCTACTTCCAAGATAAAACCCTCACTTACTGCTGGGCTGCACATACGCACTGAGGTGCAAAGCGGCAAGTAATGCTCAGCCAAAGTGAACGGCTTGAAGGTTGAAAAAAAAACAAAAACACATTCACATTTGGGAAAACATGTTTCCTGGAGTTCATGCATATAAAAAAGTGATTTTTTTTTTCATGTCAGTTCAACAAGCGCTTGAACATAAAAACGTGTGATTTCAGAATCACAAAAACAAAACTCTTTGTGCTAAAGGACCGTCGATGGCTAACGTGATAGACCTCACATATTTATGTGGCCCTGAAGCCAATGGAGAATTGACCTGAGTATGAACCAAAGTGAACAGTGGAGTACCAGCTACATGGTACAAACAAAGAATGACTGCTGTTTGATATGAGTTAGGGCGTAGACTGGTTGGGAGAGTCCACAGAAAGGGCTCTGAGCAGTGGCAGTAAGTGTAATGCATGCTGGGAGTTCATATGACAGGATGAACCTTTGACCTCTCCCAACATCAGTCAAGGTGGAGCATTCAGGGAATCTGTGGTCCTTCAGTGTCAGTGTCCAGATAGATGGATGATGGATGGATGGATGGATGGGTGGATGGGTGGATGGGTGGATGGATGGATGGATGGGTGGGTGAATGGATAGATGGATGGATGGATGGGTGGATGGATGGATAGATGGATGGATGGATG